TCAGTCGGCAGCAGAGAACTGCTCCATGGTCTTTAAGTGAGCTGCATGCATCGACAATCAAAAGGGTCAAGGGCAGATCCGTCCATCTAATGCATGAACGCAGTTCAGCAAATGCTCGTTGCTCATTGTGTAAGACGTACTCGTTCTGATCTCAAAGTCTAGGCGCGAAAGCAACCTTCAACCAGAGATCGATCATCGGGTTCCTGCTTGGACCGATTGTATCTCGAAGGTTTAGGGATAATTTTTTTCAAAAAGAAATAACCTGTATCATTATATAAAAAACTCTTTACGAGAACCATAGCAAAAGAATAGGGTATCACCAAAGAGGGACTGTACCACCCCTTTACCTTCCTGACAAGGGTACTCGACGATTGCGACTCATTCATAAATCCGCTTTGATCCGCTTTGCACAATTTTTCCAAGAGTCGATTTTCAATTAGTGGACAATTCAATAATGCATTGATGCAGCTATCACGATGTCCCAACGACTGCACCAACTATAAATTCTGAATGGAAGAAAGTTCCCATTCTTAACCTCGAAGACAACAATTAAGCTTCGATATGCGGTCTTTGTCAGGAAACCTTTTTTTTTTGAGGTTGGTGATGCGGCAGGATACGATGCCACAGCGTTGTTGCGCGAAGAGATCCTCAAATCCATTCCTGCTACAACTTCCTCTTTCAAATTCTAATCTCAAAAGCCCCGTAGATCGATCATCTCGTTTCACACTCAATGGTTAGAGAGCCTTATAAGACCCGCAGTTGGTCAAAAATAGAAATATTTGAGAAATACGTTCTCTCTCTCAAATTCTTCCAATTCCTGCAGGTGATATTCCGTCATTATGAAACGAAATTACCTTCCTTTGCACGAAAATGAGCGCCTATTTCGCAACACTCGAGCGATGAAAGGATATAGTACCCCCTGACCGCACGAAAAATGAAAGATCGTGGGCGAAACAACATAGTTGAAGTCTAATTTTTCCTTCGGAACCATATCCTCAAGAAGATATAATGTTCCAGTTCTGGATGCGTTGGGTCGTTTGTCGTCATCGCTACCATCTGCTGACAAAAGAGAATCATGCGATCGTTTCTTCTTTCCCTGCGCAGTTCTCTTCCTCGTAGCCGATATAGAGGCTGTTGCGTAAAGCGTCAGATAAAGAGGCTGTCGCGCAGTGGTATAGTAAAATCTATCACCTTTCGATCCTTACTAGATGGTGCTGGTGCTGGTGACGGTGCTGGTGCTAATGGCGCTTATGCCGCAGGGACCGAGCTTCTCTAACAAGTGCGATAACATAATTTTCGGACAGAATTTCTCGCTCTTCATGTGTTGAAGGAAGCTCTTCTCCAATAAAAGATGTAAGACTTTCGATCGGAATTTTTGAAAATAGCTGAAGATTTTGCGATTCCGATTCGAGAAAACCTTACAAATTTCTCTCCACTGGAAATGAGATGCATCCTTATTGAGAATGAGAAGCAGAGAACAGAAAAAACTCATTGTGCATTCTAGCATTCCCCAAATGTGAGGCTGTAGATATTCAATGTATAGCGTAAGGGCATTTTGCAAGCGTTGATGACATGTTTGATGAAAAAGCAAAATTAGGTTATGCATCAAGGTTCTGGACTTTCATGTCGCTCCCGCATTTCGCCAACTACCAACTGTGTCATCGCTGCCCTTGATGGTCACTCCTCGGTGCGCATGAATATTCAACACAGTGGTATGGCGGAGAGGGAAAACGAGGTTCCGAAAGTTTGTTCGCGGGTTCGTTATGCGCGATGCTAGAATGGATTTGAGATCATCTGGAAAAAACACTTATGACGGTATACGTTTTATCTTAAATGACCACTGCAACGTACTAGCTTTCGCTCATGAGATAAAGCAAACATTGAGGAAATATGCTCATCGACTTTCGATGTTTCTCGTCCCAACTGTTTTCTCGTCACTGTTTCTTCACTGTAAACATCTTTTAAAAAGAGAAAGGGCTACTACTGAAGCGTATCGCTCCCTCGGGATTCTAATCGAAAAATCGGAAGTTGATCTCGCGTCGAAATGTCTATCCGGAACCCTTGTTCATACCATTCAAGACTTACCATCTATGATTTTGATGATTCTCTATCTGGACCTAAGAGCAACTGAGAAATAGCTAGTGAAGCTTTGAATCTCTTATGAGCAATTGATCCAATGTAGTCCTACGAATGATCGTTTTCATTTAAACAAAAGAGAACAAAGCACGAACTACCACGAATAACGCTTTCTGGTTGAACGTTTAGCACAGCATGGAAAGGTTGAAATTTACGAGCGAAAAGTTGGCAGCACCATGATAAAGCACATTTTCCTGAGGGTAGGTTAATCATTGATTGAACAAGTTTTATTTTGATTCTTTTCTTGAATCTCCCTCACCAATAACTGGAAAGACTTCATCGCGACTCGCTGGTGCACTTGGGGATGAATACAGGAGAGCACCTTCAAACTTCTTGGGAACCTGGAGCTTGCCGTTCCTCCAATGCGGCATGTTTTTCAACAACCACAGTAGAAGACCGATTTGAACAGCAGTGCAATAAAGGCTTCTTGGGACTAGATGAACAAGCCAACTACATACTGTGAATCTGGTCAAGGGTATGCCAGGTAAAGTGTTCATCTATTTAGAAACCTAGGAACCTTGTCTTTAGTGAGTTATGTTTTCATTTTGTTTCCATGCACTTTCACTAAGAAGGAGTTTTTCTCACTGACAAGAGATCTTACCCAGCCTACAAACTCTCGCGACCAATTCGTGCTCCACCAAAGATTTGCAACGAACTAATCCGCTTGCGATAAATTGATCCGTCGCAAACCGTCGCTTTGCTATAACTTTTTCTGAAGTTCTCCAATCAAACTAAAAAATTGGTCGAAGGCTCTGCTCGTGGGAAATCCAGGTATGTAAAGATTTTGTCCCATGATTTTTTGCCTTCATATCCAGGAAAATGAAAATTGAGTTTCTTGCACCTAGAATGTTACTTGCGGATATAACAGCATCGTAAATCCCCTCCATATAAATTGGAAACTTTATTTTCAGTGTTTAAAAGATAGTACTGTACTACATTCGATATAGAAAACATTAAAAAACGTGATTATTCTGATACAGATAGTGATACAATTCGAACGAACTTCGCTGAAAACCCTTGTTCATATTATCTTATTCCCAGTAACTCGCGACCTGTCTTTTTCTTCTTCTTCTTCTCCTTAGCGTTAATTCCCCGCCTTCGCAGTGTCCGCTATTCTTGTCAGTCACCTCCACTGGCCTCTATCTACGACAACTTTAACATTACCTTACCTTCGGCGAGGTCCTTCTTGATCACGTCCCGTCATCTTTTCTTTAGGGCCCCTCGCGGTCGCTTCCCTTGGGCCTCGAGCTCCATTGCCTCCCTTATTAGATGATCGGTGGTCTTCTCGTTACGTGTCCGTACCATCTGTACAGGGGCCAATTGTATGACCGCTCTGACGTCCTCGTTTCTGATCCGGTCCAGCCGCTGGCCCACCTGAGCATCCTCATCTCAGCGGAGTGAAGCTGTCTTCCATGATTCCTACCTAAGGGCCAGCACTCGCTGCCGTAGATCATCGTGTGCCACTTCACTGCCCTGTACACCTTTGCTCTAAGGGTTTTGGAGCAACGACGGTTGTAAAAGTTACCAGTAGGCTCCCTCCACATGCCGCGTTTATTCGGGATTCCACAGCCTGGTCCAGGCTACCACCAGCGGCTAGATCACTCCCCAGGTATCGGAAGTCCTGTACCCTCTCGATGACTTCTTCGAGTCCGTCTACGAATGACTTCGTGCACTACTCGTAGCTGAGGAACTTGGTCTTCTCCACGTCAGCCGGAGCCGATTATCCGCCAGCACTTTCTGCCATTTCTGCAGCTTCTCCTAGAGTTCCTCCCTGCTCTCCGCGACGAGATCTGAACGATGTCATCAGAATAGGGGATGGTCTTCAGCTGTCCATCCAGGAGCCCGATTGTTATGACATCCAGTGTGAATAGGAGGAGGAACGGGCTTAGGGCTGGTATCGGGTGTGGTGCGATTAACGCGTCAATATAATGAGGTCATCGCACAAAACGCGCTGAAACAACATGCCTACCATCATAATAGAAGAAATAAGAACTTATAAGTAGAGTAAGTAGAAAAGTGACCAACTATGCACATTTACAGAAGGATTGCGTTCTCTAGGATTGCAAAATTCGAAGGTACTCTTATTTCGAACGTTGACAAGTAAATTGTTGACCTACGAAGTGAATTTTCCATCTCGAAGGGGTCCCAATGCCATAGTAAAGAGAGTCGCTCTAATTCATGTGAAGCCGTGGACTATTGCAATTTTATTTGATCCATCTCAACGGAAAAGTACTGAAACGATGCTGCGTGTGCGAAGAGCGCTGATGGGGTCACGCGTGAATCGTGCGCCCCCTGCTGATCTCCGGTTTGCTCCAAACCGTGACGTCTACTGCTTCCGTCAAGCCGTGTAGAGTGCGTACTGCTGTCGTGGACCCATCGTACATGACTCTGACCAGAGAAATCAGGTGATCTAGAACGTTTCGCTCTCGGAGCGCTCTCCAAAAAACCTATCGGTCGCGAGAGACGATCGGAGGTCTCTCCAGATCGAGGAAAGCCAGTAGCATGGTCCACGCTTTCCCCGATACTCTCCATTACCTGTATGGTATGGCTATAAAGATAGCATTTGTTGTAGTCCGTTCTGGCATGAAGCCAAACTGCTCTCGTGATGTCTGGACGAGCTCCCCCAATCTTGAGTTAACTAACCGCTCGTACAGCTTCATTGCGTGAGCAGTCACCCTGATCCCCCTGGAGTTGGAATATTCGATCGCTTCCTCCTTCTATCCGGATAAGGGAACGATGGTGCTGCTCCTCCAGACATCTGGTCCTCTGTCCAAAGTTCGATATGGCAAGCTGTTGCCTCTAAGTGGGGACTGTTCTCACGGGCAAATTCTTCGTTTAAGAGCCTGTCGAAGTATTCTTTCCATCTACTCCTGACCTCCCAAAGCTCCCTCACGATTGCACCCACCTTCGTGTTCGTAACTGGCTTCACCATCCCGATGTCTTGGGTAGCCCGGTGCCGCTAGGAGAAGAGGAGTTCGGAAGACGAATTTGTCTCCTCCTCGGCCATCGGATTTCTCGAATAGGGCCTCCATTTCCATATTCTTTGCTTTAGCTATGGCAGCCTTGGCGGCCCTCTTAGGAGTTCTGCAGGCAACTAGATCTACTGGAGCTCGCGTTTTCTGCCACCATTTGTAGGCAGCTCTTTTCTTTCTCACACGTTGCTGGACCTTATCGTTCCAGAACCATGGTTTTTTGTCTCCTAGGGATCCAGCGCTCCCCCCTTTGAACAGTGAAGGATGATTTCAAGACATAGCTCTAGGTCTGCTGGATCAGCCCCTTCAGGATCTGACAAGGTCTGGTGGAAGAGGTCTGTGCTGCGTGGCAGTTCTTCACCAGGCAGTACCTTGATGCCTTAGTTTTGAGGGACGATCTCCTTATGAGCACATGTTCTATTTTCGTTTCTTTCCCTCCACTGCTGTGGGTTACCTTAAATTTCGCGAAGAAAGTGCTGCAGAGTGCCATGTTATGGGTTAAGGACATCATCTCCGTCTTCGTTTCCAACTCCTACTTCCTTACCTTCATGTACCCTTTCCAGTGCTCTCTTTTCGCTGACGTCGTGTCCATTCAGATCACCTCCTATGGTGAGATTGTCCCCTTCCGGAACCGATCTGATGATATTGTCCAGGCTCAGATAGAACTCATCTTTTTCACACTTGGGGGCAGCCGGCTTGTATTGCATACACAGATATTATTGTCCGCTACCCCTTTCTTTTGTGTCTATTCTCACTGCCATGACTTCACTGCTGATTCGGTACACGGCGGACACAGGCTCTTTGAGGGACTCCGACACGACTATGGCTAAACCACTTCGTATGGTGTCGTCTCCGTTGTAATTGAGCTTGACACCCTCTCCGATTTCCCTAGCCTCCGCTCCTTTTCGGCGAGCTTCTTGAAGACATAGGACTTGGACGTTATTGCGCTTCGATAGATCAGCGACCTCTCGAGACTCCCCAGTAAGCGAGTCCACGAGAATGCGAACTAACTTTTTTGACCGTGTCGTTCACTCCTCGGTAGCCCTCGCATGCTGAACACAGGACTCGGGCGGGGGTTATGAGCGCCACTTGCGGGTGATGTCCTAACTTTATCACTGGTTACCTTTGAGACTTTTGACATGGTTGTTGTGACCTGGTTTCTCCATCAGCCGGCCTGTTAACCTGGCCTGACGCTGGAACCGTTACCATCTTTGCAATTTTGCAAGGCATGGATTTCCCCTCGGCAGGGTTCGAACTCGCGCACTTTTCTGGTGCAGACATGAGTCTGCACTCTTATCCACTAAGCCATCCCTGCCTACTCGCGAATTCTGTCAACCCCGAAATTTGTGTGGATCATCAATTAAGAACTCTTGTCATGGGAATTCCAAATATACATTCATATATTACATTATAGTTTTTCAGTCAGTTAGACTTACAATTTTTCCCAAAAATTGCAATTGCTTTCCAGCAGTCCTTTTCAAAGAAATCGATTAATTTTGTTCTCATGGAGAACCCGAATAATGTTGAACAAGAAATTTATGCAAAACTATGTCGCAGGTATGTGATCAAAAACTTTTTTATTCGAAATTCCGCAGTAAGTTTTGATTGGAGCATATTTCACGATTGTTTTCAGTGTTGTTTAATTATGAGATGGATCGCCTTTTCAATGACCGTTGAGCTAAGTGACCCCTGAATGTCGACCTCTATTAGCACATCGTTCTGCTACATCCAGATCCTTTCAGCAGCATACATGCGTCACCTATAAAGTAACACTCAGATTCCCATTTCTGAACACCGAGCTGGGTTAGCTATCATAAGCTCATTACTCTGATCTGAGATCTTTGAGATTGAAACAGTTCTTTAGTTCAGCGTATGGGGACTGTAAATATCAGCATCTTCACAGAAATTACATAACTGATTTTATAGTTTATAGTTATAATAGTAACAGTTTCAGTTCGCATACATTTAGAGTTTCACTGTTTTTTCATGGAGTGCTTCCGTTAATCCTGAAAATATAGTCACTATGAGCTCGCTTGGGGTGCCATTGACCTTCTACTGATCAGAACCTTGTTGTAGCATTCAGTTCAAGAATTTTAATAATTTCTGTGAGAATTAGTTTTACTGTGGTTTTCAAGAGTGCAGGCAAGTCATGACTGACTAACTCAACTGGTCTCATTGCTTTATAATGCTTTATAAAACAGAACCATTTGTTTGGAATGGCCAATCCTATGTTTGCTGCATATGGTTACATCCTATCCAAAAATTAGCTCAATCAAAACTAAGTACTCTAAGTTTTGAAGGAACTCATTAAAATGACTACTGTTAAGCTAGAATCAACCGGGTTATATAGCCAATCACTCTAATGAGTTATCCGTTTTTCCCGAATGTCCACTTGTTAGTTAATGGTAGAGTCAGTAATCTGACCCCTCTCTGTCGATATCCTTTGGGCTCACTGGGTCGTTATGTTCATGTCTATCTGAAGGCACAAGAGTCCAGTCTCGATGAAGTATTGCATCGTTTTTTATACTGTTAGAGTGGAATAGATACCTCTAAAGCAATGATAGTGGTGAATTTTAAAGGAAGAGACAAATAATGACTGATGGCAGATCGATTGGCAGCAAACGAAGCCATAACAGAGTTAACACAAGAAATCAGCCATTTATTGCTCTTACAAGCACCAACCCAATCCGTTATCAGACGGTACGCCAAAGTGCTTACATGCGCAGGGAGAGGGCAGAAGAAGCAAGAGGTTCTGACAACAAAAAGTGATTTTGTAAGCGTTTCCAGGAGCACAAATGGGTTCAATATTCATAGGTGGACTGTATCCCTCACGGCGTTGTCGTTTTATTGTGCCAGCTGCATACCAATACGTCTCACTAGGCACGCCCTTGAATGGACACGGCATCGGCGAAGACGACGGCCTGGCTACTTGAGATCGATAGCAAGGGGTCAACTAGCTCAACGTTCAGTTATGCCAACTTGATATCGTATGATAACCAAGTAACAATGATTTTCTGACTGTTGCCGTTTTTCAAGTCTAATCATAGCTGATCACCCAAGCTACCGTAGTATGTGCATTCGTAGAAAATTAATAAGAGCTTTGAAATGAAAATTGTTGGACAACATATCTGCGACTAGTCCAGCATGTATCTCTTGGATAAAATAATCGAAGGCTTCAAAAAAGCGCAAAACTACTTCGTTTCTCATAAAATGCGCCTTCGAAAAGAACTAGGAAGTGCTTAAAAAGCAGGTTATTCGAATTACTGTTTTCAGCTGAAACTGTTTCAATTCTGTCATTAAGAACTTCAAAATGAACAGGATTCCGTGATCTTCTAGAATGTAGCACCATACATACCTTCCCAAACTCGGAATGTAATTTTTAACTGACCTAGATAGTTTACGATAATGCCATACCTGCGTGAACCTCAGTTTCTCGTTGAATTTTTCTTTCATTTCCTTGATAATGAAGATATGATATTGAAGAAAATCAAAAATAGTTGTATGACTGGATTATGTTCAAGCAGTTTCACTGAATGGTGTTCCATATGAATAGATGGCTACAAAGAAATAGCAAACATCTTAAAAGCTGGTCATTCGAACCAGTGGTATCAGCTGATAGCGTTCGAATTATGTCACGAAGGATAATTAAATGATCACGACTTTATGCTCTCCTCGAATATGGTGTCAATCATGAGTTTTGGATTGGAAACCGTGAACGGAGTTCCCAAATGAAGTGAAGGGTTTACGATGCTGACATATCCTCAAGTAATACCATAGGCGCGAAGAGATCCACTCTAAATTTTTCATGGAAATTAAAGCGAGAAATTGAAGAGAAGCAGAAAGTTTTCACAATTCGGTTTTCTTATGAGATAACATTCAACGTGATTGGGATGGCTTAACACAATTTGAGGCGATGCCACGGTTTGCTACTGATCAATATGTCAGAATCCGTCGGTTGATCATGACTTGATAGCAGCGTTGTATAGTGCAAGATACGAAAGTATTCTTCGAAGCAAAATTTTGTTGTACCCTCATACTCTTGGAAAGCTGTAGTAATGAGGGCCCTTGAATTTGTACAATTCGAGAAGATCATAGTGAGGTGATCTTCCCGGTAAGATAAATATATGTTTACCTATATTGATCCATCCAAAACAGCAGACTTGATATTGTGTAGTTCGAAAGGACAAAGTCTATCATTTTATCACTAGGTGGTCCCTCTACGAGAGGATTTGCACGGAATGGAAGCCTGAAGTCGTTTAGGCGTGTTCGTCCTGAAATCAATATGACACCAAATAAGTATTGTACTTTTAGAAATCATTTTTCTGTACCACAACTGCCGTGATTTTCCGAATCATGACAGCCCTGGTACAAAGCGTATATTGCTTCCTACCTAAATTCGGGTAGGTCGTTGTATAATGGTGTAAAGAGTGGGGAAATACATCTGAAACCTAACCGCAGAGAGGATAAACTGCGAACTGACCTTGTCGAAGGATTCCGAATGCATTGCCACGATGTCTCATAGTGACTTTGGCATCCATGTACTCGACAGGGCCCAGTAGGCCATAATTGACGAAAAAGTGCTCGAATAAGGCAGCGCTCATTGGTGTATTCATTAGTCTGTTTGAAACCACAGGCACTAGTTCCGCGTGAAATGATGGGCAGATTGCCTAAATGTGTTAAAGTATTGGCTTTGGTAAAACATATAGAACGAAGCGTTTTTGAATGTTTCAAGGAAAGGGTGCGATGAAACATACGGAAAAGGATTCGGCATCCTGACGCTATTTATATTTCACGACGGACTACCGGCAAATTGGTTTCCGTAGAAAATGAGAAACAGAAGAGCATGAAGTGGAACTACGAAATCAAATGAGGAATCGTCATAGCAATAGTCGAAATGGGGAAGGGTTGCCGAATTTATAGAACAATGGTAAAAGTTTCTACTCAATGGCTTTGTCTACTTTTTGCTCTACTGCCTGGCTTACGCTGCACAACGAGGCAACCAGCACATGAACATGATTTTCTGTCAGCTCATTATAGAAGAAATATTTCAATACAAGCGCTATCAATGAATTAGCACCATTTTGAATGGCAAAAGATCATAGATTATAGCTCTCACAGATAATTTTGAATCGATCAGCCTCCCTGTGCGACCGGTTCTATCGCGGCTTTCCTTAAGATTGATTCAATTTACTTTATGTATTCATTCCTACTGCTTCTTACGCTGCTCGCGTGCCTTACTCTCTTCCGGTACACTAGCAGACTGCCTGCTACCGTCTACTTTGCTCTTATTCCGATACTTCCTGCTACCGTCGACTTTACTCTTATTCCGCTAGCTCCTGCTCTATTCTGACAACTTAATCACAATTACTCCGCTACTTTCCTTGTGGTTACAGCTATCTGGAATTATTTCGTCGTCTTCAGTCGCGTCTGGTATTGTTGAAAGAGCCTTATCTTGATAGAACTTCGCCGCCTCATTATAAATTGCTTGCTGATATTTCAACCTATACGAAGAAGGAATAGGCGGAACTGGCTCATCAACGTAGTGAGATCATAGCCGAGAACAGATTGCTCAACGAGGAAAATTTGTCTTCAAGGAAACAGTTCAGAACCTTGAACCAGTTCAGAACGTCGTCAAACGCGTTTTCTGAGTCAGTTGGAGAACATGTGGACGATGGAAATTCTATGTGGTCTCGTCCGATACCGCTCTCGCAATCAATGTTGACCTCAATCGCTCGATCGTCATAGTCGGGGTATCAGAATATCGATCTCAAGATGCTGTCCAAAGAGCGAATCATAACCCTCAATGCATAGGTTCTATATCGAGTTCCTTAGGAGTATATTCCTTCGGTTGCATATCGAATGGGAAGTCTGAATTCCATCATCCTAGGCTCATAAAAGTGATTATTCCGACCTGCAGATTCAGCGAGAGGCGGTCCAGAGGGCACCACGTCTGCGCTTCTTTCATAGGAAGCCTTTGTGAAATCTTTTTGACTCTTCTTTGCTTTGCAGTTCTATAGAGTACCGTCCTGTAACGTTTTTGCGACTTTTTTTTACTCGAAGCTATTAGCTATTAGAGCTCTTACAACGGTCAAACGACAGTTCTTACGGATTTCACCATGCATGATATCAACTGGGTGCATAATTTTTCTGGAAGCACCTTTTCGAGTGAGATTTTCGTTCTGCTCGCATAACTTCTAACAACTAATTCTGAAACCTATCGTATTCCGTAATTCTAATTTTCTAGTTGAACGGGAAGACCGGTGTAACTATCTGTTGGCAATAGCCCAGCAGTCGCTGACTCTGGCTTGTACATATTGGGAGACTTCAAGGTGGTTGGCCATGGAGCTGTTGGAGATGACCTTTTCGGTATCGAATAAATTTGCTCTTTTGCATCCTCTGAGCCTGCCAATCAAAAGAGTGAAATGTTTATTTCCATTCTGTCTTAAGTTATTGACAAGTTGGTTCCTTATGACGGATGCAAGTGCGGTCAGTCACTTCCCCTTGCATAATTGGGGAGGACGATTTCGCGGACAAACTTTGGGATATCGCCACTCAGGAACGACACGAGTTTTTTTAATAGAAAAACTTGATAGGGCAAGCTATTGCAAAGTTTTACTTCAATCTTGGGCGGAGGCTTACACAATTAAGGGATGGACCCGGTTTGTACAGGTGCATAAATAAGTAGTAGTAATAAGAAAAGAGACCTCTTGCTTCAGCGATTGATGAAATACGCTTTGCAAATGATGAATCTAAGTAGGCTGAGCTGTAACTGTAATCACTTCCGGAGAAATAATGTCATCCTTTTTCAAATGGCCTACGTTTAACTCTCCAACCCCAAATTTCTTTCCATTCCATTTCATGGAAAGTATCCTTGTACGCATTCTTTAATGCATCAGACATCTTTTAAACCCATCTTTCATGAAGTCCCATGTTCCGGCTTGCTAGATACATTTCTTGGTTGTTCCAGTTTCCAAGAGAGCTCAATAATGGTAGAGGTTATCGCCCTGTTAACATCACGTCTGTTTTTGCCAGAGATTTTGAGACGGTCGTGAAACGCATGTTTTCTGCCCAATTGGAGCATACAACACCGCTTCTTCGTCTCAGCATGACTTTTATAAGGGTGCAATCTGTTGAAACTGTTCTGTTTGAACCCCTCAATGACTGTACCTAAGCGTAAGATGAAAAGAGGGAAGTTAACGTCTGTATTTCAACCCTGTTAAAGCCTTTGAAAGATTACCTAGAGATATCCTAGTCAGCAAATTCCGATTTGTTGACTTCCATCGCACAGTTACAAACTGGGTTAGCTCCTTTCTATATAGAAGCAGTTATCAGGTGCGTTTATGGTCGTCTAGGTCACAGAAGGTGTATTCAAGGGTTATCTCCCTTACTGATTTCGATTTATCCGTTTGATTTGCCACGTGCAATCCGAAGTCTTAAAGTGATGTATCTGATGTACGCTGATGATATAAAAGTTTACACGGCCGTAGCAAATTCAAAAGATCGAGATGATGTTCATGTCGCGACTAGTGTTACTGTGCGATCGAGCGTTGGTCTTCCAAAAGGAGTTTGCCGCGTTCTGGCACCATACCAAAATTTTTTTTTGTTGAAAAGTGCAAAGTGAATATGAGCTACAAATTGGACGCGAAGGAATTGGATATTGCTACTGATGTACGTGATCTTAGCTTTATATTTAATTACTGTATTCCGCGAATCATTACAAAGAAATTGTGTCTAGGGTTAGTATAGAATTTACGACCTATTGAGAGCCATTCCCTCCATGGATGCAAAAACCCTCACTCAGGCTTAAAAACGTACGTCAATCCCATGCTCAAGTCAGATACTGGAGTCCTGTTCCCTTTCAGGGAAAAGGATAATACAATACTGCTACTAATTCTTGGTCAACCGACGCTTTGCGACGGATTAATCCGTCGCAAACCGTCGCATTGCCATAACTTTTGTTAAAATGATCCGATCGAGTTGAAAGTATGACC